GGGGAGAGGGGGAGGCGGCTTTATAGCAGGTGGCTCCTGGTGTGTTTGTGGGAGGGTTAGAAGGAGGATGGCTCAGGACCTCCCAAGGGTTCAGGCACCACCTTTTATTCTCTTGTGTCTTTGTCGCTTCCTGCAGGTGGTGAGGGCCATTTACACCATCCTGCTTGCAGGGTCATCTGCCTGGGAGACCTGGATCCCATCGTCACCGGATTTGCTGCCCTGGGCTTCCCCAGCTGCGGGCGGTTGGAGGGGGGTGATAGATGGAAACCACATCCCCATCCATGCCCCGACCACTGTGCCACCCAGTATATGAACAGAAAAGGATATTTCTCGATGGTCCTGCAGGCCCTGGTTGACCACTATGGCCAGTTCACAGACATTTTCGTGGGCTGGTCAGGGAGGGCACATGATGCCCTCATGCTCAGAAACTCCAGCCTCTACCAGAAGCTGGAGGCTGGCATATTCTTCCCCCAGCGTAACTTCATGGTCGGGAACATGGAGATGCCACTGTGCATCCCTCATGCTGTGGCTTAAGAAGCTGTACACCAGCCACCTGGACCCAAGCAGGCATTGTTTCACTGCCCGCCTGGGCAGGGTTTGCGTCCAGGTGGAATGTGCCTTTGGGCGCATGAAGACAAGGTTCAGGTGCCTCCTGACCCGCCTCAACGTGAAGGAGCACAGCATTCCCCAGGTGATCTCTTCATGTTGTGTTCTCCACAAAATTGTGGAGAGGAAGAGGGAGGCCTTCCTTCCAGGGTGGGGGACAGAGGCCAGCCAGGAGAGATGAGCCTTTGAGCAGCCACGCACAGCTGTCATCTTCCAGGCCCAGCAGGTGGCGGTGCGCATCGGGGAGGCCCTGAGGGAGAGTTTCTCTGAAAGACCCCAGTTACTCTCCCCAGCCTCCCTACTAGGGGCCTGTACCTTGACCCCATTTGCCTTTCGCACAACAACCCCTCACTTCTCCCTTTCCCTGTACACTCAATAAAAACAATGTTTTTTTTTTAAATAAGTCTTTGTTTGAATTTCTGAGATACAATTAACTGGGGAGGAAGGGGGGCTGGGAACCTGGATTTGGGGAAGAAGGAGGCTGAGAACCTGGCTGTGGGGATGTGGGGTGAGAACCTTGTAGGGCAATGGAGAAGCTCAGAGCTGGGGCTGAGACTGACACATGGTTTGGCTGGTAGTTCCACCTCGGGACCTCGGTGACCTCTGGGGTGGGGGGTCCTGGGAGAATAAGGGCATAGGCAAGAGGTGGGGGCTGGAGTGGGGTTGAGCATGGCAGGGAAGTGCAGCCTGGGCTTCCATTGGGGCCGCGCACACACCTGCGCTTGGCAGCGCTGTTTACAGGAGCGGGTGGTGCCTCGAGCATGCAGTCATGCCCGTGTGCATCATGAAGCACTCCAAAGCCTGTGTACAGCTGTGCGTGTGCCCTTGTCCCCAGCCTCCTTCCAGTGGTGACTGCTAGTGGAAGGGCATCCGCCCTGGGGGTCAGAAACATGCATGGCCTCCCCAAAGCCTGTGAGCAGGAGCTCTGGGCTGTCTCCTGGGGCTGCATGGTGCAGATTGGCGCTTCACGTGCATCTACGTGCACGGACTGCAGCACGAGGGCCAGACTGAGAAGGCTGAGCAACGATCGCACCCCATCCCCTCAGTGCCCGGCACCCTCGCCCTACGTGTGTGAAAAACTAAGAGCACTCACTTGATGATCCCTCTCCGGCCTCGGAGGATGCTTGGGAGACATCCAGGACTTGGGGTACTGGCTACAGGGTAATGGTGGTGATGGTGCTGCCCATCTCTTCCTCCTCCTCCAGCTCCTCCTTCTCCTTCTCCTGGGCTGGGACCCCTGGGCGGTCAACAATGTGCATCTCCAACTCAGAGTCCACCATCAGAGGTGCTTCCCTTGCCGATGCTAGCTCCTGGCCCTAGTGTAACCCTGTCAGTGCTCTTTAACCTTGCTCCACACTGTAACAAAGTCAGGGTTCGGGGTGCACCCTAAACCCCCCCCTTTGTTCTGCCTCTGTCCTCCTTTTATCACTTGTTAGTGTACCCGTCCCACAGTCACCGCAAGTTTATGCCTGGTTGCAAGTATCAGTTTGGATTCCTCCGCATCCTTCGTCCGTCAGTCTCCTTTGCCAGGCCTGGGAAGCTCACTCTCAGTCACGTCCGCCCCTTTCTTGCGGGCTACCTTCTCTGGGCTTCCTGGGGGCGAGAGCACAATTAGCCCCTGCTCTCCCCCTGCCTCTTCAGTCCCCCCTCCCTTTTGAATTCCCCGTGATACACCATCCAGCGCCCCCACGCTAAGGGAGGCCGGTGGCTGCAGGGTCCTAGTGCTGCCGTGTTCGGGTGGTAGCCCCCTGGCGCATGTGTGGCAGGTTCGGCGTTTGCTGGTCTGTGCTCCCCAAAAAGCTGCACTCGGGCGGCCTCCAGAGCGGGGGTCCAGCCCGCCGTCACATGCACCTGTTCCAGAGTGCAGTGGTGGCCCCTCATGGCCAGGCTGTTGGCCGTCTGGCCGTAGATGCCAGTGTTCTGTGGCGGAGATACTGGAGGGTCCCCTCTTCGCCCTATACCTCCACGAGGGCCAGGATCTCCTCTCTAGACCAAGATGGTGAATGCCTTTGCCTGCCCCTGTATGCTCCCTGTGAGGACCAGTGGGATCTTGGGGGGTTTGAGGCTGGGACGTTGGTCCCAGATGTTTGGCAGTGGCAGCCGCACAGTGTGTTGCAGCTCCCAGGGCTGGCTTCCTGCCAAAAGCCCTGTCCCGTGTGTCTGCAGCTTTAAGAGCTGCTAGGAGACAAGAACTATAGAGTTGTGATGAGTGTGGATGGAGTGGCCAGTAGGGCACCTGTGTTATTTCCTGAGGCCTCTTTTTTTGTTAGTGTAGCATCCCCTCTCTACCTGATTACCTTCTTTAATGCCAATCTGCTTACGGGTTTTGATGGACAGGTCTGGGTTCTTCTGGATCCTGCCACCCACTCAACTTTATTTCTTCCAATGGATTTATTTGGCGATGCTTCTACCCCCCTCACTCCTTCCTGGCAGGGTCACCAGAGCAGCTTGGGAGGAAAATTCTAACCCAGTGGAATCCCCACTTACCTGCCAGATAGTTGGAGACTCCCAGAAAATAACACAAACACATAGGCTGTGTCTAGACTGGGCACTTTTTCTGGAAAAGCAACTGCTTTTCCGGAAAAACTTGCCAGCTGTCTACACTGGCCGCTTGAATTTCCGCAAAAGCACTGACGATCTCATGTAAGGTTATCAGTGTTTTTGTGGAAATACTATGCTGCTCCCATTCAGGCAAAAGACTTTTGCGCAAAAGGGCCAGTGTAGACAGCAGAGATTTGTTTTCCGCAAAAAAGCCCCGATTGCAAAAATGGCAATCGGGGCTTTTTTGCGGAAAAGCGCGTCTAAATTGGCCATGGACGCTTTTCTGCAAAAAGTGCTTTTGCGGAAAAGCGTCCTGCCAATCTAGACGCGCTTTTCCAAAAATGCTGTTAACAGAAAACTCTAGACGCGCTTTTCCAAAAATGCTTTTAACAGAAAACTTTTCTGTTAAAAGCATTTCCAGAAAATCATGCCAGTCTAGACGTAGCCATACACTATATTAAACACAATTAAATTAAACAGGAGACAAATATAACAGAACAGGGTAAAACACTATTTTTAAGTTCACCGGTGCCCAGCAACTGTAAGATTAGTGTCCTGTTGGCACGCATACTTTGTTGTGGCCCTTGATGACTTATGACCACAAAATTCTTCTCTGCAGTGGTTTAGCAGTGGGGCTGACTGGGTCCAGTACAGCTCAAAGGACTCACAAGTGGGAAAAGGTGGTAAATCCCTCCACAGGGTTAATATGCGGCAGGTTATAAAATCCCCCAAACAAATTCCCTGACTGACTAAAAGATGGTGCACTCACACACTCCATGAATGAGCCTCAGGTTCAGAGATGACTCGGTCACTGCAGAGGGGCTGGTCTCTTCTGGCAGGGATCAGGCTGCTATGGTCCCAGAATTTCCCCTCACCACAAAGGGGTACAAGGCTCAAGGTGCAGGTTACACCATGCACTACAATTCAAACTAATCTCCTACCCCAGCATTCAGACACACATACAGCAGGCAGCAGCCCTGAACTAGCAGGCAGAGTAGAGCTGACCATGTGTTGACTGGTCTCACCTAGGGAGCTGGAAGGCTAACTCAATCTGGCTGGGGAAGTTTCCCAGCAAACTCTACAAACTGGGAATCAACAGTGGAGAAATAAAACCCAGCTGAGGGATCTTTCTTTCAGGTCCCTAGAGGCTAGTTCTCAGGGGAAAAACCAGCCTGCAGGCCTGGGGCTTACTAGCTCCCACACAGCCAGCCTTCCCCATGCCCTGGCTGGCTCCAGACTCCTCAAACAATGGCTTCTCCTTCCCCTCCTGACTTCCCTGGGAGGGGCATTTCACTCCGTATGGGTTCCCGGGCAGACTCTGCCCTTTTAGAGAGGGGGAGCCAAGGCAAACTCAGTGTACCTCTCCCTGAGCTGCCAGCAGACAAGGCCCCGGGAATCTAGGTAATCTCCTTGGGGGTTACATAAGCACGCCCTCTTCCGCATCCACACATGCCTTTTTCTGAAGAAGCTTTTTCGGAAAAAGCCTTATTTCTCATAGAATGAAGTTTACTGCCATTGGAAAAAGCCCTCCGTTATTTCAACGTTTTGTCAAAATAACTTAGTTGCAGTGTGGACACTAGTATTGTTTTTCCAGAAGAATGGCCATTATTCCAGAAAATTGCTGCAGTGTAGATATACCCTGAGTCTGTTATGTCTAATGAACACTGACATATGATTATTTAACATGGAGGTTGTTTTCAGCTTCTTTTACTGGAGCTAAACATGTTATTTCTTGAAAGGAGTATTTTGCATAGTTAGGGAGAGCTTACTGCTGTCAAATGTATATTTATTTGACAGGAACACAAAGAATTTGATTATAAAATGTTTTATAAAATTTTTTATGTATTTTATAGACAATAAGGAAGAATCCAAACAAGAAGAAGAAGAAAAAGAAAAACAACCTGAAAAGGAAACAATACCAGAACAAATTAATGACAAAAAAGAAACATAAAGAGATGATTTCAAATGTCATGTCATGTTGTGCTATAGAGGTAAGAGAAATTTTAATATTTGAGGGTATGTCTACACTAGTCCCCTAGTTCGAACTAGGGAGGCTAATGTAGGCATTCGAAGTTGCAAATGCTTATTTGCATCTTCTTGTCCGGGTGCCATTTTTAAATCCCCCTAGTCCAAACTAACTGCCCGCGGCTACACTAAGTCCTTAGTTTGAGTTAACTGTTACACCTCATTCCACGAGCTCTCCTGGAGATGGATTATCTGTGCTGATGAGAGAAGCTCTTCCATCAGCATAGTGTAGTGTTTCTCAAAGTGGTCCACGGACCCACTTTGCGAAAGTTGCTACTGGGTCGCTCCAGTTTGTTTACTTACTGCAGCCATGAAGCCTCATGGTTCCCATTGGCTGCAGTTCATCATTTGCAGCCAAGGGGAGTCGTGGGAAGCAGCGGTCTGGGTCATACTGCTTCCCGCGGTTTCCCTTGACTGCAAACAGTGATCAGCAGCTAATGGGAGCCGTGAGACTCCGTGGCTGCGGAGCCAATAAGTAAACAAACCGAAGTAGCCTGGTAGCGGTTTTCTCAGAGTGGGTCCGCAGACCACTTTGAAAAACATTGTTCTAGTGGCATCTTCACAGAAGTACAGTAATGACACAGTTGCACTGCTGCATCATTTTAAGTGTAGACCTGTCCTACAGCTCTGACATTTGTCCAAGGCTGAAATGAAAATATTCCTTTGTTTCTAAACTGATATGGGACCCACATTTTTAAGGCAGTTATTTAATTTCACAGCAAACTTACAGATTTATGTATTTTGAGGCCAGAGAGGACCATGATAGTCTAGTTTGTCCATCTGCATTGACACAGGTCAGAGAATTTCACCCAGCCCTTGGTTGAACAAACTTATACCTTTACAAAGCCATCCAGTCTCAATGGAAAGATTCCAAGTGATGGAAAGGTTACTGTATTACTTAGGAAGATATTCCAATAGTTAACTATCCTGCCTGTTAAAAATGTGTTTTCTTTCCAGTTTGAACTTTCTTGACTAAAAATGAAGGAAATATATTTTTCCTCATAAATGAAATTTTATACTGTACCATAAATGTAATAACTATATGATATAAAAACATGATCCATATTATCACTGCTAAAATAAGTGCTTCAGGGCATGGGTTCCCCCTACCCTTGTCTTGTGGACACCATCATATCTAGTAGCATCCATTGATTCAGCTTGCCTAGTATCCTATTTGCAGGGCTATTCTTGAGGATGGGAAGGTGAAATAGTCATATTTGCACTACAATCATCTCACAATAGCTGCTGGACACTGGTCTGATCCCCAGGACTGGCCAAGTTCTCCTGGACACAGGACCTAAGCGGGGACCCTAAGGGTGGCTTTATGGTGGAGTTTAAGATACTGGCTTTACAGAACAAAGAAAGCACCAACCCAGCATGCCATACATTTGTGCTATAAATCAGTAAAGGTGCTTGAGATGATGCCCTTCTGATGTAGCAAGATGCTTCAGGGCAGAGGATCCTTTCTCCATTCATCATAGCACAGAGTTAGGGTATGTTGCAAAGCTAGTCTTTCATTTTTTGTGAAGAAAATCAAAGGAGAATTGTGAGAGTGGTGAATTGTTGGAGAAGGATGATGGTTTTAGCTTTTAAGTTACCTAGCTTTCTGGTTATGGGCTATATGGAATAGTATTGCTGTTGGTTAGGAACTGTGAAGTGTTACTTTAGAGGTAAGTCTCTCTAATTCATGGGAAGGACTCCTAGAATATATAACAATTCAGGAGCCCCGCTGGAATCACCTTAACAGTGGGGAGGTTAGGAAAGAGGGTTTTTTTCAAGTAGGTAAATCTTAAATCATTAGCTTAAATTCTATGGGGAAAATCACTGCCAGCATAGCCTTCCCCTTTAACGTGTGTATAAATGTAAATACATTAATAACTAATTCTTAAAAGTGAAATTCTTAAGCAGATGTGTCTTTGGGGGATGGGAAATGGAGATAAGCAAACTAGATTTAAACATTAAATAGTCCTGATTGATTAATTATAATGATGCATCTCCATATAACTTGTAATGCTAGTTACAGGGCGTGCAAATTCATATGTCCAGAGAGAGAGACGGTGTTGTCTAGTGATAACAGTAGTGGACTGGGAGTTTAGAGACCTTGAGTTCTACTGTTGATTCAGCCATATAATTGTTCAGGGGAACCCGTGTGTTTGTGCCTCGCGTTTGTGTAAAAAGACAGTAATAATGATACCTGCTTTTTTGTATTGAGATCCTTGAATGAAGGAACCCATTCAGGTGCCAATGAGTTCATTCATCTGTCAATGAACTCTATGTGGGTATGTCTACACAGCAAAGTTATTTTGAAATAACAGCCCTTATTTTGAAATAACTTTCCTAGCGTCTATACAGCCAAACCTTTATTTCGAAATAAATTAGAAATAGCCGAGCGCTTATTTCGAATTTGGTAAACCTGTTCTCCAAGGAATAAAGCCAAATTCGAAATAGCTATTTAGAAATAAGTACTGTATAGACACTTATTTCGAAATAGGGGTCCTCCAGCCTTCTCAGGGTGCCCTCGTGGCCACTCCAGCCTCAACCAAGAACACTCCTCTCCCTCCCCTACTCCCCAGAGCCCTTAAAGGAGTAGACTCAGGCTGGTGTTTTGCATCCTGTGCTACTAACTCTTCCACTATCACTCCAGAGAATTTTCGGCCAACAAAGCCACTGGCAGCCAGCCCTCCACCGCTCCCCGGGAGCCTGCCAGGGCCCGGAGAAGGTGGACGCCTTCCTGGTCAAGGGTGGAGATCATGGACCTTATTCAGGTTTGGGGGGGATACCCCCAACGTCCATGATGTCTGCACTAGGAACGCAGCCTTCTATGGTAGGATAGCTGCCAGCCTGGCCACCAAAGGCCACATGCAAACCCAGGAGCTGGTCTGCATGAAAATCAAGTTGGTCTGGCGAGACCCCCACCCCTGAGCCCTGAGCTTCCCCTCCCCCTTCTTCCCTTTGCTACCCCCTTCCAGCTCCCTCCTCCCAGGTTTCTCCCTCCCCTCTCCCATCCTTTTTCCTCCCCTCTCCCACCTCCTTTCCCCACTCTCACTAGAGTTTCATTTCCCCCCCCACCACCACCCCAGGTTTGTTAAATAAAGAGAGTTTGTGTTCATGAAAGTACATGTATTTTATTTGACATCAGGAAGGGGAGTTAGGGAGGGGTAAGTGTGGCTGGGCGGGGGTTAAGTGGAAGGATGTGAGGGAGGAATGAGGCACAGGCCCCCAGTGGGGCAGACCAGGGAGACTGTTAGTGTTCCTCAGGGTGGAAGCTCTCCTGCAGGGCCTACTGGATATTAACAGCCCCCCGATGGACCTCCTGGATGGCAGCCTGCAGAAAGTGCAGCCAGGCTCACAGCAACGCATCCAAGAGAAGCACCAGAGTGCCTGGGTGCAGCTCCGGCTCCATGTTGCAGAGTGCTGTGGTGTCCCGAGTGAGGGCAAGCAGATCACACAGAGACAAAATGCTTTCCTGTCCCTCATCGAGGTAGGCAAGCAAGAAAGCAGGGAAACCTGAGACCCGGCTGTCCAGGGGGGTCCCTTTAAGCACAGGCCTCAGAGAGCCTCAGGCAGCAGCCACACAAAGACACTCCTGACCTGATGCCCTGCCGGACCTGGTTCCGGCCGGCCTTAAATGCAATTCAGCGTCTACTCAGTATGAATGTGCTATTTCGATTTAGCAAAATGCTATTTTGAAATGCATTTTGTGTGTAGATGCGTTATTTCGAAATGAGTTATTTCGAAATAACTATTTCGAAATAGCTTATTTCGAAATAACACTGTAGTGTAGACATAGCCTCTCAGATCAAGATTGAGCTTGAAATATCCAACTGTTTAGACTGGTGAATTGGTGAACTCTTCAGTGCTTTCCAGTGATAGTTTTTGTTTGTACACTTTTATATACATTTTGTTAGGGTGCTAACCTGCAATTTATAGTGTGATATGCTGTTACAGAGCCCCATTGACTTGTGTGGGGCTCTGTGTGCATGTAGCTTCTGCGTGTGTATTGTCACTTGCAAGACCAGAGCCTTAGGCCCCAATCCTGCAAAGACTTTTTTGACAGTTTAATTTTATGTGAATAATCTAACTGAGGTCAATGGGAATGTTCCCAATGCATAAAATGTAAGTATGTGTATAAGTTAGCAAGATTGAGAAATGAGATTGTAAATGGCTATTTGTAGTTATGATGTCATCCTACTTGTGTATACAACTGTAGTAGTTCAGGACAGCTCTATAGTAAATTCAGGATTCAGTGGTGTGGCGTCCTGACAACCTTCTGTTCCGTCAGTAATGATAAACATTTGGCTGTGTGTGTTTTCATATGCTCCCTTAGTATATTGTGCCATTTCTGTGCAGGTTGCTACAATGATAGACTTCACAAGAGCCCCCAAAGACCACAGACTCAGATAAGATACGAATAGTGATAGAAATGTAGCCGTGTTAGTCTGGGGTAGTAGAAGCAAAATGCAGGACAATGTAGCACTTTAAAGCCTAACAAGATGGTTTATTAGAGGATGAGCTTTCGTGGGCCAGACCCACTTCCTCAGATCAAATAGTGGAAAAAAGTAGTCACAACCATATATACCAAAGGATACAATTAAAAAAATGAACAAATATGAAAAGGACAAATCACATTGCAGAACAGAAGGGGAATGCGGGGGGAGGGGGGAGGGGGAGGAAGGAAGGTAAGTGTCTGTGAATTGATGATATTAAAGGTAGGGAGGGTGGGATGTTTGTGAGTTAATGGTATTACAGGTGATAATTGGGGAAACTGTCTTGGTAATGGGTGAGATAGTTCAAATTCTTGTTAAGTCCTTGTTGGCAAGTGTCGAATTTTAACATGAATGACAGTTCAGAGGATTCCCTTTCAAGTGCAGATGTAAAAGGTCTTTGTAGCAGAATGCAGGTGGCTAAGTCATTTAGAGAGTGTCCTTTCTGGTTAAAGTGGCAAGAAACTGTTTTCTCTTTGTGATCTTGTCTGATATCTGTTTTGTGGGCATTAATCCTTTGGCGAAGTGTCTGAGATGTTTGTCCAATGTACATAGCGGACGGACACTTTCGGCACATGATAGCATAGATTATATTTCTGGATGCGCAGGAATATGTGTTCTTGATCTTATAACTCACTTGGTTAGGTCCAATAATGGTATCAGCAGAATGAATATGTGGACAAAGCTGGCAACGGGGTTTGTTGCAAGGGAAGGTACCAGGGTTGGTATTAGTGTGGTATGTCCTGTGGTGGTTGGTAAGAATCATCTTGAGGTTAGGTGGTTGTCTATAGGAGACTATGGGTCTGTCTCCCAGAGCCTCTTTGAGTATGGTATCCTGTTCCAATATAGGCTGTAGTTTATTGATAATGTGTTGGACAGGTTTAAGTTGGGGGTTGTAGGTGATGACAAGTGGTGTTCTATTGTTGGTTTTCTTGGGTCTGTCTTGAAGTAGATGGTTTCTAAGTATTCGTCTGGCTCTTTCAATTTGCTTTTTTATTTCTCTGGGTGGGTAGTTGAGATTTATAAATGCTTGGTAGAGATCCTGAAGCTTCTGGGCTCTGTCAGTGGGGTTAGAGCAGATGCGGTTGTATCGAAGGGCTTGGCTATAGACGATGGATCGTGTGGTGTGTTCTGGATGGGAGCTGGATGCATGTAGGGAACTGTATGAGTCGGTGGGGTTTCTGTAGCGAGTGGTGTCTAATTTTCCATTGTTGATTTGTACGGTGGTGTCCAGGAAGTGGATCTCTCGTGTAGAATGGTCCAGGCTGAGGTTGATGGTGGGGTGTAGGTTGTTGAAATCTCTGTGGAATATCTCCAGTGTTTCTTGGCCATGCGTCCAGATCATAAAGATGTCATCGATGTACCGTAGGTAGAGGAGGGGTGAAAGGGGACGGGAGTTGAGGAAACGTTGTTCTAGGTCAGCCATAAAGATGTTAGCATACTGTGGGGCCATGCGTGTACCCATGGCTGTGCCGCTGATCTGGAGGTATACGTTGTTCTCCAACTGGAAATAATTGTGGGTGAGAACAAAGTTACATAGGTCTGCTATCAGGTTGGCAGTAGTGTCCTCTGGGATAGTGTTTCTAATTGCTTGTTATCCGTCTTCATGTGGGATGTTGGTATATAGAGCTTCTACATCCATGGTGGCAAGGATGGTATTATTGGGGAGGTTATCGATGTTTTGTAGTTTCCTTAGGAAGTCAGTAGTGTCTCGGAGATAGCTGGGGGTATTGGTTACGAAGGGTTTGAGAAGAGTGTCTACATAGCTGGATAGACCAGTAGTGAGCGTGCCAATACCAGAGATAAGATACGAAGGCACCCAAGTCAGGTTTATTGTCGAACGGAGTACATTAATGATTGTTGGTAGCCAGATGGCCTCCGAGCCCCTACATGTTTGTACCCGGGACAATAGGCATGGATCAATCAATAGTATGGATTTCACTATCATCCCCTAGGCTGGCAAAATAGTTAAGTGAGGTACCCCAACATTATAGACAGAAATGAACAATCTAGGGGAGTACATTAATGATTGTTGGTAGCCAGATGGCCTCCGAGCCCCTACATGTTTGTACCCGGGACAATAGGCATGGATCAATCAATAGTATGGATTTCACTATCATCCCCTAGGCTGGCAAAATAGTTAAGTGAGGTACCCCAACATTATAGACAGAAATGAACAATCTAGGATACACACTGTACGTATCATCTTACTCATTAATGACATGTTTGGTACATCCCCTTGTGCTTTCCTCCAAAGCATTCATTACCCATTATTATGCTTTCACTCTTGCTGTTTCAAACTATTTTATCATGTACTAAGCTGGATGTCTCTGTACTCTCCTGATGGTATGCAATTTTCATATTTCATGTGTTTTTATCAGTGCTAGCAGTTCTAGTACCAAGAGACACTGACTTGCAGGCAAACATTTGCTTTTGACATGGTCTGTCTGTTACTCATAGTATATAACTCTTGCTTACTTTGGTTCAAACACCTGGCCAATGCTTCAGGCTCTTTCTTTCTCCTACATCAACATCTAGCATATTGTAGGGTACTTTAGTAATCACAACAGTAATTTATGTTTTGACATTTTCTTTTAATTTCTCTGTTTCAGGATTTTAATGTTGCAGGCCAGGATATAGTTTGCAACTCATGAAATATCATGTTTACTACAGGGGACTATCTTCCACATCATCAGTTAAGACAGTTCCTCATGACATAAAGAAACAAACAATAAAACCACCATCTTTCTTGCACAATTAGAAGTGTAAACCTTTAGTGGCTGGTTTTGTGATCTTTACTTATTCATTGGGTATGTATACAATGCTTCCGATTAAGCCATGGCTAGTACATTTGAGAATGAGGGAGTTTAATTAGCGACTGCCAAATACTATAATCTTTACTATACATATTGTTGATACTTAATTTCTTTTTTTCAATTTTCTGATGAGTTATTTCTCTGTTTCTGCCTAATCAGCAGGCATACTGTGAAATATAATTGTACTTGCAAGAAAATTACCATCTCATGAGATGAATAAGTTTGATGATTAAATTAGGTAGAATAAAGTAATAACAATCACATACTCAAGCAGAATGACATGCTGATCCTTTGCTGTCATGTGATGACCTTTACAAAAAAAGAATAGCATTTTAGAAACAGTCCAATCCATTTCAAGTCAGTCCCAACATAACGAGGAAATGTAAAGAATCCTCAATAAGCCATATGCTTTTGGAAAATGAAGGAATTTCACCTCAGTTAAATTTAAAATACCTTGATCCGAGGTCAACATGACATAAATCACTGAGATAGCAAAAAATTCTCAAACCTGATAAGAAAACATATTTGCTGCTAAATTTAATTACTAAACTTGATCAGAAATGTGCTTGCAGCCTAGCATTCATATCAGCAGGAGACAGACTTCTGTACAAACAAGATGAAATAGCTGTTGTTTCCTGCATATAAAATAAATCCTTTCCCTAATGATAAGCACCAGAGTTTAGCCATATCTTTATACAATGCAGTATTCATGAACTCGTAACTGTTCTTGTATAAAATACAAATGTTTGATGTAGGCCAGCACAATTCTGATTGAGAACTAACATGCAAGAGATGAAAGATTTGGAACAACACAGGCAATATTACTCCTTGAGCTGTCTGTGACTAAGGCCCTGATTCAGGACAGTGCTTCAGCATATGCTTATGACCCATGTTTTCCTTATTCTGGGCCTACATACATAGTGTTTGAAGAAGAGAGTGAGAGAACATGTATTATGCATTCACACCCAGAAGGATAACCAAAGTTATACATACCATCCTTGAAACTCAGAATTGTTTCTGATTGTGATGGGGTGTATAGACCCCTGCACTAGCACTGAATGGGCACTCTGCCACATTAGGAAGAGATGGGATTGAATGGAAAATCTAACCAGCAGGTTGACTGCACCCCAACCAAAGGAAAAGACAGACTGACATCAGATGTGAATGTGGTCCAGGAGAGAAGACTGACCCCTAGGCACTCTAGCCATTGCTTCCAGTGGACACTGGCCATCACACTGGGATTCTAATGGAAGGACAGAATATCAGTGCCGTGCTGAGGGCTCTGAACTGCCAGGTTTTTATGTCCAACGGACAGTTCACATTTCAGAGTAAAAACCGAACAATGACTAGGCTGCTGGTGTGCTGGTGAGACTACTGCCCATCATGCTGTCCAATGTTGTCTTATTGTTCCCTAGTACTCCCCATCAGTCCATATATTGTAAGCTCTTTGAACTGTTTCTTCTGTGTTTGTACAGCTGTTAGCACAATAGGGTCACGGTCCATGACTAGGGCTTCTTGGCATTACGATAATACATATAATACATAATAGTAGAGTAATGCTTATTTACTAATTCTTTTTCCAAGACAGGAGATACAATGAAAAATAGGTCTTTGTAGGGTATTGGTTTGCATTGGCAACCGTTGATGAAATAACTATGGCAGTGAGAGCTGTTGCTTTGAATCAGATACCCATGGTTGCTTCTTATCTACTGTAATTCCTAGGTCCTTTTCTGCACAATTGCCACTTAGCAAGTTGGTCCCCAGCCTGTAGCAGTGCATGGGATTCTTCAGTCCTAAGTGGAACTAGTCCTTGTTGAACCTCATCAGATAGTAGATTAGAATGGAGGGATTTGGATTAGGGCTCAGATACCAGTACTGCAGTGCTCCTGAAAGCTAGAATTCTTGTTAATTGTGCTGCCAACATAAGGGAACAAGAGTCAGAGTCAAGCGATGCTATCTTTACAGCAGAGTTATTATAGATAAGCAATTTTCGACTAAGCCGAAACTTAATTTGAATGTTGGAAAACAATACTAACTTTGGGATATACAATGTAGCTTGAAGTACGCATACTGATTTAATTAAATTTGTTTACCATTATAGTGTAATAAAAATAGCTCTGAAACAACAAGCTAGTACAACTTTGAACTGCATAACCTTCTTAAGTAGCTGTCAGACCTTGTATCTCTGTGCATGAAATATAGGACAGTTCACATTCTAACTTGTGAAATTTTTATTTCTGGAGCTTTTATCAGGTTTAACCTTTATAAACTCAGATGACTCAAGAAAATGGAATAGAGGGTAATATCATGGTCTAGACAAATTTCTTTAAATCACAAGGTCACCTCGTGTCTCAGCAAAGAACCCCTCCCCCATACAAATTACTAGAACAAATTAACTTAGGAAAAGAAAAGTACAAATGACATAATTACAGAGCAGTGAACAGGAAAGCATTGTTGCGCAGCTTCTGAATGCCACTTATATGCTTAACACATGATCTTATGTAGAAAAGTGGAATCTGTAGTTTTTTGGTTAGGATCTTAGGGTGTCTACACTGTCACCCTAATTCTAACTAGGGTGGCTAATGTAGGCATTCGAAGTTGCAAATGAAGCCCGGGATTTAAATATCCCGGGCTTCATTGCATCTTGCCGGGCACCGCCATTTTTAAATCCCCCTTAGTGCGGAGGTTCCACGAGGAATAACGGTAGTTCGAATTTAATTGGACCATTTTCTGTGAGGGAGATAAACTTTTGAGCTCTTCTACCTTGTCTTGCCAATATTATAAATGGCAGCAGATAGGGTATGTCTCCACTGCCTAGTATGTAAATATGGGTATGTCTACACTGCCACCCTAGTTCGAACTAGGGTGGCAGTGTAGACATACCCATATTGACTGAACTAAAGTAAGCAATGCAATGTTGGTTTTAATGCTATCAAGGTTGAGAAGAGCTCTGAAGATAAAGGAAATGAAGAGATGAACAAGATATTTACTAATTATGCAGTGTTTTGTTTGACCCAGATGTGAGATCATCTTCTTTAAAGAGTAGTCTGACTCAATACTGATAGCATGTGTTTGATGTAGTTGAGGGAGATCTAGATACTAATATGGAGGTATTTATATTTTGGGTATATTTAATGTGATTTAAATCTTTTACACATGTACCTCAGCCACCTTAGAAACAGAGCACATTAGCTACAAATAAAACCTCATGAAACCAGTGTTCATTAACATTTAAAAGGAACAAAAAAGATATGATTAGGGCTGACATGGTCACTTTCCCAGAATTCATAAGTGTGAAACATCCTTTACAAATAAGTTTAATCTTAATGCCGCTACTGGCACTGCTAGATTTGTCAAGACATGCTGGAATTGGGCTCAGGTTCCCCATGCTCTTCTGGGCAAAAAGGAAGGTAGCACATGCCGTGTTGTGTTTGAGTATATCAATGGCTGAACGGGTATGTGGTCCTCTCCCTGACAATGCCACTGTACATCTCTATGAAACATCAAGGCAGCTGAGTTCCCATGGAAGTTGAGTTGAGTTCCTTTGTCAAGGCCAAAGTGCGTGAGAGTCAGAGATAACTTGTTCTTAGTTGAAGGGGTCCAGCTGGGCCCAGCATTCCAACCTGAGAGACACAACTCAATATGCTTAATGCTGTGCATAGATGCTAATCCTTGAATCAGAACCAAGGGTATGACATTTGGCAATAGATGACACCTAGGTTAGGACCATGATGGGTAGAGTCTGGAGGCACAGAGGTAGGATCACTCCTTTTTGAGAAACTATGGGCTTGAGGCTCAGCTTGTGTGAATTGGTACAGCACCATAAAAGTCAATGCATGTTGGCCAATTGAAAACAGATGAGTATCTGGCTGTATAAATCTGCATTTCCAACTTTCAGACCTTTAATCATTTAAGGGTGACCCTCACTTAGAGTTCTTTGATTTAAAATGTTTTATTTTAAAAGAAGTTATAGCTCTAACTAGACTGCCCATTTGATCTGAGCATCACTGAACTTTGGTGGTGGTGGGGGTCCAGATCATAGACTCAAACTGTAATGGATGGTTCTATTCTCTATGGCTGGCTAACCCAAAACTCTGGAACCTAACACTCTTTTCATTTGGAAGTTTTCAAATTCCATTTCTGAATATCACAGCACTGGCTCATTTATTGATCTAGTAGGGTTGGATTATTTTCCTTATGTTATTGGTGCAAGCTTTGTGTTAGCCCCAGTTTAACAAAGTATTTTGTCTAGGGCTGAGATCTTTGAGACCTGATTCCCAGTCCTGTTAAATAACCAGTAGATCACAACAAAGACAGACTTTCTTCTCTTTCCTTTGTCATATAAATGACATCTGTTTCCTTTTCATTATAGCCACTGTAAAACTTGGATCCTTTTTTGTACACATAATTTAAAGACAAACGGATTATAGCAAAGATAACATTGGGAATGGAGAGGTATCTTTTGATATTAAAATATGTAAGAATTTCCAAATATTAAAAATATTCTTTAAGCTCATAATAAGCAAGCACCAGAAAACCTGTTCTTTCTGAGCTGTGATGTTAATCAGCTGTTGTCACTCAAGGGGCATAAGTGGACATTGAATTATGAGACGCTTCTTTATTTGATAAATGACATTTCCAACTAGTATTTAAAAATCAATTTCTACATTGCAGTTGTCATGTTTCACCTTATATTTGAACTGAAGTGCATGGATGCTATAGTTAAACTCATGAGAATGCAGATTATCAATCATTTTCACCTTCCTCACAACTTTTAAATTCCCACCTTAGCAAATATTGAAGACAGTAGCAGATAAGACCATAAGGATTAGATGGAAAATGTGAAACGCACTAACTGACCTTTACATATAAGATCTTTTGTTGCTCGCCCCACACACCTTTGAACTACAAAAGAAAGCCAGAGACTCTTGTGGAAAT